CCCGTGTTTGAAGTAGAACTTTTATCGATTTTTCTTTTCGCTGACGTGTTTTTTTTTCTTCTACCCCGTTCTCATATAACTGCACTGGCCCGACGAGAATTTATCGAAAGCTACGTATGCTCGCCACCTCGTCTTCTGATTACTGCTATGGGAATTTTCGCAACTCTGAAACAAAGTCGCTGGTACAGACACTTTGACAGCCCAAAGGTTGGGGTACCACGTAAGGAGACGATGGGGTGTAGCGGCACTCCCGGCTTGTGGACCTTTGGTAAGCCGTAGAAGCGCTCCATTGCGGCATCAATGGCTTTTGCAGCCAGCGCTTCCCTTCTAGTAAGAGCCCCCGCCTTCCTCAGCTTGCCGATCGTCTTGTTTATGCTGTTTACGAGCTTTTTGAACTCGCTGACAGTCGATGGCGCATAAGCTCCCTCGTCCATCAAGAGGTTGCCTAGTTTTTTGCAGTACTCAGCCTTATCCATGACGACAGTAGAGCGCCCCTTGTCGGCGGGCAGGGTGACGATGTCCTCTAGTCTTCGTATTTACAGAAGTTCTCGATCTTCTGCCTTAGAAATCGTCGTCTGGCGTTTATGTTGGAGGAGTAAAGTCGACACTTGTTGTCGCATGGCGTTTTTGCACTCCTCGCCTGCCTCGCACTTCTGGAGCGCCGATTCGAAGGATGCAATAAAGTCTTTTGGTCGAGCATCTCTTGTGCTGAACTTTGCGTCATAGGATAGAATGGCTAGTTGTTGCTGAGTGAAACGATGGGAGGACAAGTTGTGAACCAAGACGCCGTCAGTGGATGGCTCCTTTGGCAGACTTATTTTCTCAAATTTTCCAGACAAATGGTCATCACGCAATTTGCGGTGATGCCGTGCACTGTCGAGAATTGTCGCTTTGAGGATTCCCAGCTCGTGTGCGTAAAGATTGACTGGCAAGTTGACGAATGCTGCTCAACCAACTGGCGGTATTTGTGAATGCGAGCGTGGCAGTCTCGTATAAGCACTCTGATCATTTTATTCTTGAAGTCTGCCATCGTCCGTTGGCAAAGGTCAGAGTACACAGGCGGTCTATATCTGAGGCACTTTGGTAGGACGTTCTCATCAAGGCGCCTGTGCAGGAATTTCAGCTGAGCGTAGGTGGAGGACTCTCGCTTCACGAAGGTCTCCCATCTGCGTGCTGAGCGGAGGGCTGAGCGCCCATGGCATACATTGATATGGGTGAAGATTCGAGGTCCAGATATTGTATCACGTTATCATCCCCCGAAGAAGACGAAGAAGAAGATAGGGCGAATTCATGGACCGAGTTATATTTGTACTGACGTTTCGGAAACCCTCTCGTTTCCATCATCAGAGTAATGCGTTGACTGTTCCTGCCAATCTTGATTGCGTCAGCCTTGATACCTGCCTGGTATTATATCCAGGCGGATCCTCCACTTCAAGAGCAACCACCCCGTTGGTCACAAACGCAGTTGTGTCAGGACCCTCTTCCAACGCGTTCAAACACACTGCAGCGACGACAATGGGAGGAAGGAGGAGATTAAGTACTTGCACGCCCTATTTAAAGCCAACGGTTATCCCAAGTCCTTCATACGCAAGTGTCTTCAGGAGCCCCACCCTGAGCGGTCGGACGGAAAAAACCCGAAATTTTGGCTCGCAATCCCTAATGTGAAAAACGTGTCAGTGGCGACGGCAAGAATCCTGAAGCCTTTCGGGATCGGAGTGGCTCATAAGCCAGAGTCAACAATCAGACAGCAAATAATGAGGCCCAAAGACCCGCTACCGGTGACAGAACAAACAGCGATGGTCTACAGCATACCATGCCAAAACTGTGATGCAAGGTATGTTGGTGAAACGGGCAAACGTCTTGGCACAAGATTGCATGAACACCAGCTTACAATCAACCGCAAGGACAAGCTGTCTATGGTTTATGGCCACGTCAAACGGCAGAACCACAATTTCGCCTTTGAAAAGGCAAGGGTAATCGGCCGAGCCAATGATAAGATGGCCAGACTGGTGCTCGAAAGTTGGTCCTCGACTGGCACACTCAACAGAGTCATAGATCTGCATCCGGCCTATCAGGCGCTACGCACAAGGCTCGAGTCAGTGTGGACAAGGCCATCAGGACAGTCGAGCAAAGTGACGCGTGGCCGACAGCCGATGTCAGCAGAAAGTGAGAGAGAGGCCGGCCGAGGGTCATGTGACCAGCATGCGACGCCACCTCACAGCAACGCCCACGAGGCTGAGATCAACTCACATGAGTCCCAACAACTGAGCAGTCCGTTGAGTGACGAGGGGGAGGCCGACAAACATGCTGGCTCACTAGTGGCAGGGGTCACTAGTGGCAGGAGCCGACCGGCGGTCAATCGTGGAGAGGTCAACGCTAATCGGCGGCGAACGGGCAGGTAAAAGTTCGTGTCTCGCG